GTTTCGCCGCCCCATAAGAAGTTCCACCGAAGACCCCAGTGGCGACGTTCGCATGCCGTTCCTTGCCCTTTTCGGCACACTCCCCGCGCGCTTCGTGGCCCCAGCGGGAGCTCCACCTAAAACCCCAGTCGCGACGTTCGCTTGCGGTTCCCCGCCCATTTCGGCACACCCTCATGCTTTGCGTGGCGTCTTGGGGAGCCTAGCCCAAGGCCCCAGCGGCGACGCTCGCACGGCGAATCCCGCTCATTTCGGCTCACCTCTCACATGTTTCGTGCCCCCAAAAGTGCTCCAGCTAAAGCCCCAATGGCGACATTTGCATGCCTTCCCCCCCCCCCATTCGCCACGCCCTTCACGCTTGTCGCGTCGTGGCGTCAGATGGAGTTCAGCCGAAAGCCCCAGTGGCGACGCTCGCAGGGGGGCCCCCGTAAAGGCGCGCAGGCGCCCTGTAGGGCCGTTCCCGTTCCCATGCGTGCCATAGGATTCCTTAGGAATCCTATGGAATCCATAAGATTCTTTAGGAATCCGATGGAACCCATAGGAATCCTTAGGATTCCTTACGAATCCATAGGAATCCTTAGGATTCCTAAGGAATCCATAGGAATCCTTAGGAATCCTATGGGATCCTTAGGTTTCCTTCGGATTCCTTACGAATCCATAGGAAACCTTAAGATTCCTCAGGAATCCATAGGATTCTTTCGGAATTTTACGGCCGACACAAGGTTTAAGAATTTCGGTGTTTCGGGGAGGGTGCCCTTATGTTCTTCGTTTTTGTTCTATGTTCTTGTGCACCCTGGGGGAGGGTATCCTCGATGTTCTTCAGTTTGGCGCCATTATTCCTTCGTTCTGACAAAGCTGGGGTTCGGGGTTCACGATTCGGCTACGAGCGTCCGCGGCGGGGGCGGGACCCTCCATGTTCTTCGGTCCCGAAGTCACGGTGCGGCCTTCAGCAGCTTCAGCAACCGCGTGCCCCTTCATGATGGTGGTCCATGGTGGTGCGATTGCAATCACCCTCGCATGTTCTTAGGGGACTGTTTGGCGTTGGTGGGCTTCGGGCTGCGGGGCTTAGGGTGTGCGGATGCAGGCTTGATTGAGGCTACGTACGCACGTAGGCCGCAGGGCTCGCGCGTCCGCGGCACGGGCAGGACCCTCCATGTTCTTCGGCTTCGATGTCAAGGTGCGGCCTCCAGCAACCGCGTGCCCCTTGATGATGGCGGCGTGAGTGCAATCACCTTCGCATGTTCTTAGGGGGGAACTTGGCGCTGGTGCCGCTGGTGGGCTTCAGGTTTCGGAGAGTAGGGTGCGCGGCTGCAGGCATGAGGCTAGGGCGGGCGGGCGAAGCCATGCGCAGCTTCCTGGGCTGCGGCAGGGCTGAGAGGTTGGATGTGCGGATGACGTTCAGGACGTAGCGTTGACGTCGGTCCGATGCTAAGGCCCATGTGGTAGGCCGCAGGGCTCGCGCATCCGCGGCGCGGGCAGGGCCCTCCATGCTCTTCGGTCTCGATGTCAAGGTGCGGCCATCCGCAACCGCGCCCCCCTGGATGATGGTGGCGCGAAAGGAATCGCCCTCGCATGTTCCTAGGAGAGAGTTTGGCGGTTGTTGGGCATCAGAGCGGGGTATGTGCGCGCGTGCGTGCGTGCGTGTGTGCGTGTGTGCGTGCGTCCTACCGAGGGCCACGCAAAACTTGACATGCGCGTCTGCGCTGCCGAAAGTGAGTTAAGAGGCCCGCGTTGTCAGCAATAGGAGAGTCGCCATGTTGGCTTGGAAAATCAAAGTGAACCTTCAGCGTCGCCAGTCAGATTTCCAAGTTAGCATGGGCTCTGGCGCATGTGTTCAGCAACGGCGCATGCAACCACATCTCGCGCGCGCGGCGGCGCAGGGGCGTGGGGCGCTCAGTGTTATCAGCAGTAGAAGCGCCATGTTGGCCTGGAGAATCAAAGTGGGCCACTAGCGGTTGCCGATTGGATTTCCAAGTCAACATGGGTTCTGGTGTACGTGTCCTGCAACGGCGTATACAACAACCCTCGCGCGCGCCCGCGCCGCCGCGCGCGCGGCGGCGCGTGCGCGTGGGGCGATCCGCGTTATCAGCAATAGAAAAGTTGCCATGCTGGCCTGGGAAATCAAAGTGAACCCTTAGTGGTTGCCGATTGGATTTCGAAGTTAACATGGGTTTTGGTGCATGTGTTTTACAACAGCGCAGACAAACACTCCTCGCGCGCGCCTGCGCCGCCGCGCGCGCGGCGGCGCGTGCGCGTGCGGAGCTTCGCGTTATCGGCAATAGAAGAGTCGCCATGTTGGCCTGGAAAATCAAAGTGAACCCTTAGCGGTTGCCACTTCGATTTCCAAGTTAACATGGTTTCTGGTGCATGTCTTCTGCAACAGCGCGCGCAAAACTCCTCGCGCGCCCCTGCGCCGCCGCGCGCGCGGCGGCGCGCGCGCGCGAGAAACGCCGCAGCGCCAGCAATAGGACAGTTGCCGCGTTGACTGGGGAATTCAAAGGGAGCCCGTGGAAGTGGGCAGTTTGATTTCCAAGTTAACATGGGTTTTGGTGCATGTGTTCTGCAGCGGCGCATGCAAACACTTCTCGCGCGCGCCTGCGCCGCCGCGCGCGCGGCGGCGCAGGGGCGTGGGGCGCTCAGTGTTATCAGCAGTAGAAGAAGCGCCATGTTGTCCTGGAGAATCAAAGTGGACCACTAGCGGTTGCCGAGTGGATTTCCAAGCCAACATGGGTTCTGGTGTACGTGTCTTGCAACGGCGTATACAACAACCCCTCGCGCGCGCCCGCGCCGCCCCGCGCGCGGCGGCGCCGCCGCGCGCGGCGGCGCGTGCGCGTGGGGCGCCCCGCGTTATCAGCAGTAGAAAAGTTGCCGTGTTGGCCTGGGAAATCAAAGTGAACCCTTAGTGGTTGCCGATTGTGATTTCGAAAGTTAACATGGATTTTGGTTGCAAGGTTTTACACCAGGCGCAGACAACACTGACGGGCGCGCGCCCTGCGCCGCCGCGCCTGCGGCGGCGTGTGCGCGAGCGGAGCTTCGCGTTATCCGCAATAGAGAGAAGGTCGCCAATGTTGGCCTGGACAATCTAAAGTAAACCCGTAGCGTTGCCACTATCGATTTCCAAGTTAACAGGGTTTTCTGTGCATGTCTTCTGCAACAGCGCGCGCAAAACTTCTCGCGCGTTCCTGCGCCGCCGCGCGCGCGGCGGCGCGCGCGCGAGAAACGCCGCAGCGCCAGCAATAGGACAGCTGCCGCGTTGACTGGGGAATTCAAAGGGAGCCCTTGGAAGTGGGCAGTTTGATTTCCAAGTTAACATGGGTTTTGTTGCATGTGTTCTGCAGCGGCGCATGCAAACACTTCTCGCGCGCGCCTGCGCCGCCGCGCGCGCGGCGGCGCCGCCGCGCGCGCGGCGGCGCAGGGGTGTGGGGCGCTCAGTGTTATCAGCAGTAGAAGAAGCGCCACGTTGGCCTGGAGAATCAAAGTGGACCACTAGCGGTTGCCGATTGGATTTCCAAGTCAACATGGGTTCTGGTGTGCGTGTCTTGCAACGGCGTATACAACAACCCCTCGCGCGCGCCCGCGCCGCCGCGCGCGCGGCGGCGCCGCCGCGCGCGCGGCGGCGCGTGCGCGTGGGGCGCCCCGCGGTATCAGCAATAGAAAAGTTGCCATGTTGGCCTGGGAAATCAAAGTGAACCCTTAGTGGTTGCCGATTGGATTTCGAAGTTAACATGGGTTTTGGTGCATGTGTTCTACAACGGCGCAGACAAACACTCCTCGCGCGCGCCTGCGCCGCCGCGCGCGCGGCGGCGTGTGCGCGTGCGGAGCTTCGCGTTATCGGCAATAGAAGAGTCGCCATGTTGGCCTGGAACACATGCACCAAAACCCATGAGTTGCGACGCTGCAAAACCCAGAGTTGTTGGGGGCGCCGCGGGGTTGGGGCGAGAGCTCGCGCGCGTGCATGAGTGCCAGGGCGTGAGACGTGGCGCTGAGGCCCGCTGCTAGAGCCCTAAGCTGGCCGCAGGCCTCGCGCGTCCGCGGCGTGGGCAGGACCCTCCATGTTCTTCGGTCTCGGTGTCATTGTGTCGCCTCCAGCAGCCGCGCGCTCGTGGATGACGGCGGCGCGGAGACGCACACCCTCGCATGTTCTTGTTTTGGGGCAACAGCAGCCTGGAGCTGGGCCTAGGGTGGCGGGGGCCAGGCCGCGCGGCCGCGGCCTTGAGTCTGGGGCGAGCAGGCGAGGTCGCGCGAGGCTCCCTGGGGCGCCGCGGGGTCTGGGGCGAGAGCTCGCGCGCGTGCATGAGTGCCGGGGCGTGAGACGTGGCGCTGAGGCCCGCTGCTAGAGCCCGACTAAGCTGGTCGCAGGCCTCGCGCGTCCGCGGCGCGGGCAAGACCCTCCATGTTCTTCGGTCTCGATGTCAACGTGCTGCCTCCAGCAACCGCGCGCTCGTGGATGACGACGGACGCGCGGAGGCAGATCCAGGGCACAGGAACACAGCGTGGGTCTCGGGGGGCGGGGGGGGCCAGGGCTTCGGGGTGGCGTGGTCCAGGCTGTGCAGTCGAAGGCTTTAGGCTGGGGGCTGAACCAGATGCGTACTTACGCACGTTGGCTCGGAAGTGAAGGTCGGGGACACCTCGGAAGGGCGTCCTCGACGTCCTTATGGTTTGGGGTACTTTGGCCCGCGGAGGGTCTCATGTTCTTGTCCGATGTTCTTGTGGCCTTGTTCCGGCCGTACCATCCACCAGCAACAGGTGCCAGCAACGGCCCTTGCAACAGGCTCGATCCAGGACCAGAAGGTTTGCTCTAGTTGCCAACCTTCACAAGCACCGCTTTCAAGGATGGGAGAGTCCATGTGCCCCACCCAGCTCATCAGCGCGACGCCTACACTGAAGGGTATTAGCAATACGCTACAGTCCTCCCTGTCTTTCCTCTTCCTCCTCGTCCCAGAAGGGGGCGGGGAGGGGGGGGCTCGCTTGCCCTCCTCTGGGGCGCGGGGCGGGCTGCCGAGGTGCCGCGACAACCCGCAGGGGCCGATCGAGTCCTTGACGTGCGGCGTCGCGACGAAGGGCGGTGAGGCTCCCCGCGCCTCCGCCCGAGGACGCGGAGGGGGGGGAGGCAGAGGGAGGAAGAGGATCTAGGACGAGGCGGAGGCGGGGGAGGAGGGCTTCGCAGGTTGGCGCCTGGATGTCGTTGCGCGGGCACCCTGAGCCGAGAGTATTCCCGGCGGCTCGACCCCCTGCCACCACGAGCTGGTTCCCCTCAGCGGCGCCGCGGCCGGTCCCCACCGCTCGGGGAGAGCGGCGCCCCTCTGCCCGAGTGGCGGCCCCCCACCTTTGCAGAGGAGGAGGAGGAGGAGGCAGAGAGGAGGAGGAGGAGGAGGAGGAGGAGGAGGAGGAGGTGGAGGAGGAGGAGGAGGAGGAGGCGGAGGCGGAGGCGGAGGCGGAGGAGGGGGACGAGGACAGGGGAGGAATCAGAGGAGTAAGCGAGGGGGGAGGAGTCAGGGGAGGATGCCGGCGGACCGATATCATAGAAGAAACAACAACGGCACAATCCTAAGCTTTCGGAGGTCCTTGTCGGCGCCGCCCCAGGCGCGCTCTGCGTTCCAGCAGGGGGGTCCAGATGGGTCCAGCGCCGACCGAAGAAGAAATGTGCGCCATATCGAGACATGTCCAATAGACAGAAGCTGCCCTAAACAGAGTTGGCCTGGAGGCATGGCTGGGGTTGGCTAGAGGGTTGGCTGGGGCGCAATTATCCGACCGTTTGTTTTACCATCATATAAGATGATTCTACACGCGCACACATATAGTATATATATACATATAGAATGGATGAATGCCAGGTCCCCAGCCCGGTGGCCCCGCCCACCTCAAAACCATCGGGCCCCCTTTCTTAATACCCCCGCCCTGGCGCCTCCAAGGGGCCTCCAGACGGCCCAGGAGGCCTCCAGGAAGCCTCCAAGACGGCCCCAGGAAGCACCCAAGATGTCCATGAGGGCTCCGAGACGCCGCAAGATCGGTCCAAGACGCTCAAGGTAGTCCCTAGACGGCCCAAGAGGCTTCCAAGACGCCCCAAGAGTCCTCCAAGAGGCTTTTTCAAGAGGGCCACAAGAGGCAACAAGTTGTTGTTTTTTTCGAAGGTGCTTGAAGATTTGTTGTGGTTCTCACCTTTGCGGCTTCCCGACGCTCCAAGATAGCCGAAGAGGCTCCCGAGATCGCCCAAAGACAGCCCAAGAGGCCTCCAAGACTGCCCCACAGGCTCCCAAGAGGGCTCCAAGACGACCCCAAGAGGATCCCAAGACGGCCCGAGAGGCCCCCAAGACAGCCCAGGAGAGCCCCAGGACGAGCCCCAGAGGGGTCCCGGATGTGCATAACCATGTTCAAATTCCGAGCTTTCGGCCCCAGAGGCTCCCAGGAGGCCCCAAGAGGTCCCAGGAGGCCCCACGAGGCCCCCAAGAGGCCCCAAGAGGCCCCCAAGAGATCCCCCCGAGGCTCCCAAGAGGCCTCCAGGAGGCCCCAGGAGGACCACCAGAGGCAAAATTCTGGGGGACACACATGTCTATGTTTGTCTATCTATCTATCGGTCCATGTATTACACTTATACTGGATATATTATATACTATATATATAAGATCTATATAAATATATATATATAGATATGTGTGTATGTGTATATATATGTATTATTTTATTTATATGCACACCTTTGACTTTCACAGCGTCCAAGACGGCCCAAGAGGCCCCCAAGACTGCCCCACAGGCTCCCGAGAGGGCTCCAAAACGGCCTCTGAGAGGGTCCCAAGAGTCCCCCAATACCGCCCAGGAGAGCCCAAGAACGAGCCCCAGAGGGGTCCCAGAGGTGCACAACCATATTCAGATTCCAAGCTTTCGGCCCCAGAGGCTCCCAGGAGGCCCCAAGAGGTCCCCAGGAGGCCCCAAGGGGCCCCCAAGAGGCCCCGAGAGGCCCCCAAGAGACCCCCACGAGATTCCCAAGAGGCCCCCAGGAGGCCTCTGGGAGGATCTCAAGATGCTCCCAAACTGCCTTGGAGACGCTCTTGGGAGGCCTCTAAGATGCCTTCAATAAGCCCCCAAGAGGGCCCACACTGGCCTTTTGGTGAGAATGACGAAGGATATGATGAAAGAACATCGTCGAGGGGTATCATGACGATGATCATGATGATGGGACGATGGCGGTGGCGATGATGAGAGGGGGGGGATTAGCATTAAGATGGGTACGATAAAGATGGTGACGATGCTGATGATGATGATGATGATGATGATGATGATGATGATGATGATGATGATGATGATGATGACGATGACGATGACGGTGCTGATGATGATGATGATGATGTGATGCTTATGGTGGTGGTGGTGATGATGGTGAGGATGAGAAGGAGGATGATGATGAATATGAACAGGGGGAGGACGAGGAGGAGGAGGAAACGAGGATGAGCTATGGTAAGGATGATGATGATGAGGGTGACCTGATGATGATGATGAACATGATGATGTTGATTGTGGTGGTGGCGCTGAGGATGATGATGACGATGGTGACGAGGCTGAGGATGATGATGATGATGATGCTCATGATGCTCATGATGTTGATGACGATGATGATGACGGGGGAGGAGGAGCAGAAAGAGGATGATCATGATGATGGTGACGATCATGATGATGATGCTGATGATGGTGATGAGTATGCTGATGATGATGATGCTGGTGATGATGCTGACGATGATGATGATGCTGATGATGATGATGATGAGGACGAGGAGGAGGGTGATAATTACGATGATGATGATGGCGACGACGACGATGCTGATGCTGATGAAACTGCTGATGATGATTATGATGATGCTGAGGACGATGATGATGTTGTTGTTGGTGGTGTTGTTGATAGCGACGGTGATGGTGATGGTGATGGTGGTGATGCGTATGCTGATGATGATGATGCTGATGCTGATGCTGATTCGGATGTCGCTGCTGCTGCTGCTGCTTCTGCTGCTGTTGCTGACGATGATGACGATGACAATGATGCCGATGATGCTGATGATGATGATGATGATGATGACGATGACGATGACGATGACGATGATGATGATGATGATGATGATGATGATGATGATGATGATGATGATGATGATGATGATGATGCCGATGACGATGACGATGACGATGACGATGCGGCGAGGCAGGATCATCACAGCCGTCACACGTGTCATCTTCCGTCTTTTCTTCTTGAGGAGTTTCCCAGAAGCCCATTCGGGCGGTTTTGGGGCCGTCTGGGGCTTTTGTGAGGCAGTTGTGGGGGACGTTCGGGTCTTCTTGGGCCAGCCCCCTTGGGGCCCTCTTGTGATGGTGTGAGGCTCTCTGGGGCCGTCTTGGGGCCCTCTTGACTGTCTGAGTTGGGGGGTCTCTTGCGGTCGTCGATCTGCCGTATTTGGGCCGTCGATGGGCTCTCCAAGGCCGCCCTGCGCCGTCTAGGGGCTTTCTTGGGCTGCCTTGAGGTCGTCTTGGAGGATTGTTGGGCAATTTGGGGCAGTCTTGGGGCCATAGTAGTGGATACCTATAGGGCTGTGTGGAGCAGAAGGGAGCCCGAACAGGTGAAGACGCCGAAGACTTTCGCATTCGCCTCTTCGGGCCTTACTGGGGGTTCTCTTGTGGCTCTCATGGGACTTTTGGGGGGCGTCGTGGGCCGTTTTGAGGCCACCCTGGGCCGATTTGGAGCCATCCTGGGCCGTTTCGGAGGCGTTGTTGGCCATCTTGGCGGCCTTGGTTGCCTGTCTTGGCCGTCTTGTGAGCTCGGGGGGGGAGGAGGGAAGAGAAGGAAAAATGCATGGAGAAGCGAAGAGCTGCCCCCCCTGCAGGCCCGGGTGCAGTTGGCATAGAAAGGATTGGGGGGTTCCCCGTGGGTTCTAACGCCATGTTGGCATTGGCGTTTGGACAGCGCGGGGAGTTTATTTGGCTTACGCCGCACCGCCAACCCCTTGGGGGAGAGTCGCTATTGTGGCTTCTGTGTGCTGCGTGACTTCAGCGGCCTCGGAGGCCCTTCAGATCGCTCCAAGACAGCACACGAGGCCCCGAAGAGGGCCCAAGACGGCCCAGGAGGCTCCCCAGACGACCCAAGTGTGCCCCAAGAGCGCCCCAAGAGGGTGCCCAGAGGGGGACCGCGAACCAATATTTCGAGGTCTCTGGCCCTAGAGGCCCCCAGGAGGCCCCTGGAGGCCACCAAGAGGCTCCCACGAAGCCCCGTGAGGCCCCCAAGAGGCCCCCAGAAAGCCCCAAGAGGCCCCAAGGGGCCCTCAGGAAACGCAAAAGAGGCCCCCCAACACACTCCAACACATCATGTTCCCAGAAAGCTTTCTGGGGACATGGTTCATCATGGGCCCGAGAATTTCCTGAGGCTCCGAAGTACCATCGCGCTACCGGAGAGGTGTCTATTGGGAGCATGACTGATCGCCTTCTCGCGGCCCTCCGCGGATCGTTTCGCACAAAGTTGCCCCAAGTGCGCTCTTGAACCGACGAAGACGAAGACGAAGACGACGAAACGACGAAGACGAAGACGACGACGACGACGACGACGACGACGTCGACGGCGCGCCCCAAGAGGCGACGACGACAGTGCGACGACGACAACGACGACGGCGACGACGACGGTACGCCCCAATAGGCTCCCCAAGACGCCCCCGGAACCCATGTTCCCAGAAGCCTTTTTGGGAACCCGATTCATCAGGCCTCCGCCCCCCTACGCAGGCACATTCCCCGAAGAAGCGCGCGCGATGGTTCTAGTATCTATATATGTATATATATACGTATAGATACATTGTCTGGTAGCCTTCCCTCGCTTTCCTTTCTTTGGGCCTACTGAGCCTCGTCGCCACGGTTGGATTCGCCTCAGCATCTTGTCCTGAACGCCGACCTGAGAGAACTCCAGGGAGTGGCGGCATAGGTGGGTGTATGATTGCTTCCGTGAGGGGATGGAGGCAGGGGGAGGTAACATGAGGAAGAGGCTGTAGGAGGGAGGATGAGGAATGGGCGGGAGATAGGGGACGGGGTTAAAGATCGAGGAGGATGGCGACGATGATGGTGATGGAGGTGACCGTGACGCGATGGTGATCGTATTATGACGGTGATGATGCTAGCGGCCAGGAACACATGCGACGAGGAGGGATGGTGAAAGATGAGGGTAAGCCGGCAGCGAGGGGAGGACGAGGAGGAGAAAGAGGGGGGTTAAGGAGAGAGGAGTGTAGGAACCAGATGCCCGGCCACTCCCCTCCTCCCTCCTCGTCCTCCCTTTCGAGTCATGCTTATCTTTTGGCCGTCCACCTGGTTTGACCCAGAAGCCCCAGAACCTCCTACACTCTTCAAGTCAGATCGAGCCGCCTCCGCCTGCTCTGCCCACTCGGGCAATGAACCATTGGGATCAGGGCACTATCCCGAGCCCCGAGGCATCTGGCGATTTATGCTGCTCTTTCCCTCAGAGTGAGAGCTTGGTTCGATTACTCATAGGAGTAGTCCATTCGTGTACCTCCCGACCTCGTTTGTTGTCTGGCTCCCGTTCCTCCGACTCCCCGCCTTTATGATCTTCCTCCCCCTCCTCTCCGTTCATCTCTCCTCCTCTCCACATCCGACCTCACTGTCCTATTCCTACCTCTCTTACTTCCTTCAGCCGCCCTTCCCTCCTGCTCTCCAGCCCGCCTCATCCTTTTCCTCCAATGCCGTTTCATGTCCCTCATCTCGCCCCTCTTTCTCCCTCCTTCCCTCCCTCCCCGCCCTTCTCATCTCTATCCGTTTTTCTCTCTCTCTCTCTCTCTATCATATCCCTCTCCTCTCGTTTATCATCCTTGTCCTTCAAGCCTTCCCATTCATCCTTCTCTTCCTCCTTGCTCTCCCTCCTTATCTCTCTTCCCCTCTCTCCCTCCCTCCCTCCCTCCATCCCTGGTATGCCTATTTCCTCTCCCTCCCTTCCCTCCCCTCCATCTCCTTCTGCCTCCCCCTGGTCCTTCTTGTCTCCTCCGCCCCACCACGACGACCACGACATCGACCACGGCGCCGACGGCGGCGAGGGCAGGCGGTGGTCGATTCGGAGGGCTTCTGCTGCGGCTGCGACCTCAACAACGTGTTCGCCGGCACCCCCACGCGCTCGGACCTGGACTGTCCGCTGATCCCCCTGGAGGACCTTGAGCTCCTGCAGGAGGAGGAGGAGGAGGAGGAGGAGGAAGAGGAGGAGGAGGAGGGAGGGAGGGAGGGAGGGAGGGAGGGAGGGAGGAGGAGGAGGAGGAGGAGGAGGAGGAGCAGCACGATTGGGTGCACGAGACGCGGGGCCCTGCAGGGACGGGGTTGTGGGGGCCCGGGCCTGGGGGCCCACGGGCTGAACACCACTCTTCTGCGGAGATCTCTGGGAAGAGAAGAGCAGAATCAGCAGATAGAGGGATACTGCTGGTTCAAAAAACACTGTGGGTAAAAAACACATTGTGGGTAAACCACACACACACACAAAACACAAACCCTGTGTAAACAAACACACATCACAGACAAAAAACACAGTCTGTGGGTAAAAACCACAGACTGTGTGTGTGTGTGCTTTTACCCACAGACCGTGCGTTTTTGACCCGCAGAGTGTTGTTTTGTTGTTTTTGTTTTGCTTGTGTGCTTTGTACCCACAGTGTGTGTGTGTGTGTGTTAACCCACATTGTGTGTTTTTGGGGTGTTTCATACACATCTGTTTTAAGGGAGCCGAGCTCGGAGGAGATTTATAGTGTGTTCCGCGATGCTTCTTGCTGTGCCGCTGGTGACATCCTCAGACTGTGGAACATCGGACGCACCCCTCATCCAGATCGCGACGTCACAAAGCGTACCACACCATAGTGGCATTCAATCAGTTTGCACGTACGTGTTAGACAGCCATTGTTGTTTCAATGGCTTATTGTGCAACATGTGCATATCCAAACGGATTGTAGGAATTGTGTAAGTGCTCACATGACACTTCTGAAAGCAGTGTACTTCTTTTAGTTCCCAGTGCAAGTATCCGTTTTGATTCCAACCCTTGCTTGTGCCCATGGGCGCCAAGGTGTTTCTCAACATCTCGTCTAATCGCAAGCTGTTGCACCCCACCGGTGACCCCCTATTGTTTTTTGTTTGAAGCTGGGCACGCACGTGCCACCTGGATAGAGTTGAGAGGCTGGCTGGGGGCGGGGGGGGCTCGGAGGGTCTCGGATGTTGTTGTCGGGTCCTTCGCAGGGCTCATTGAGGTTTCGAGAGGAGGGGGGGAAAGGACTAACATGAGGAGCACGCGGAGTAGTAGGGCGGTGGAGGAGGGGAACGTTGAGCATGGAGGAGGAGGCGGGCTTGGGAGCAGCACGAGGATGGAGGGTGAGGATGCAGCATGGAGCAGGGGGACGAGGATGCTTGGGGGGGGGGAGTGGTGGGCAGGGCGGAGGAAGAGGATGCATGGAGTGGTTGTGGACTGGAGGAGGACGTTCAGGGTCTTCCAGTGGAGTCTTGCAGGAGCGCCGGGGCTTCCTCTGGATCTCCAGTGCCTCGTTCCTTTGCAGCTCCGCCTCCGCCTCCGCCTCCGCCTCCGCCTCCGCCTCCTCCTCCTCCTCCTCCTCCTCCTCCTCCTCCTCCTCCTCCTCCTCCTCCTCCTCCTCCTCCTCCTCCTGTCCAGGTCAGGAGGAGGCGAGGCTGGTGGTAAGTCGGGCCTGTCCCCCTACAGGGGGATTTTCGACGAATCATGAAAAGTACCCCCCAAATAATAAAAATCAACTAGTCCAAACATAGTCAGGGGAGTATGTTATGATTACTTTTTGACCTTCCTGGGGGCATGTTTGGGGATTTTTTTATTTTTCGTCGAAAAGCCTCCTGTATGGGGGACAGGCCCGACATGAGAGCAGAAGGACGCGGAGGAGGGCGACGAGGAAGCTGCCGAGGGTGTGTCCGGCGGGCC